GGGCCGGACAAGGGCTGTGTCTGCTGTGTCTCACCCTAGTCTGTCTTTGATTGCCCTTCTGTTGACTAAAACCCCAACCCTACTTGTACTGAATTTTTTCTGCAGTTGAAACCACTCATCTTAGGTTTAGCAGAGTCAAGGTCTTTTTTTTTTTTTTTTTTTTTTTTTTTTTTTTTTTTTTTTTTTTGCTTTTTCGAGACAGGGTTTCTCTGTGGCTTTGGAGCCTACCCTGGAACTAGCTCTGTAGACCAGGCTGGTCTTGAACTCACAGAGATCCACCTGCCTCTGCCTCCCGAGTGCTGGGATTAAAGGCGTGCGCCACCATCGCCCGGCTTCAGAGTCAAGGTCTTTAAAAACCTTAGGGACCTCACCATGGTGTCTAACATCAAGTCACGGTGTTGGCACAGGCTCCGAACTTCCTGAGCTGTGAGATCAACCAACCCTCTTCTCTTTGTAAAGTATTCAGGCTCGGGTATTTTGTTACAGCAGCAGACGGTAGACTCCTTCTCCAGTCTGGCTTCTGACTGACCTGGGCCATGTCCCACTGAGCCGCCCTCCAGTCTCCACTCATACTGGGTTACTGATGTCTATCGACCTCCGTCTAGCGGAGTCTTCACAGAGGCACACTGGGAAGTCGTCCCACATTTAGCAGCTTGATGGTAGATGTAGGAGGACCTGCCCGCTGTGGGCAGCACCACCCCTAGGCATCTGGGCCTGGGATGTGTAATGAAGCTCACTGGCCATGAGCAGGAGTGGGGCAGCAACCTTCCTCCATGGTTCATACCTCAGCGATGAACTGTGACCTGGGAGTGTAAGCCAAATCAGCCCTTTCCTCCCCATGCTACTCATGGACAGCATTTGATATAGCAACAGACAGCAAATCAGAGCAAAAACAGGTGTGGGAGTGCTTGTCAGGCCTTCATCACGTGTTTTTGGGGGTGCCACACACAATTTAGTCTGTAACAGGGCAAATAATTCACATTTTGTTTTTTGGAAAGAGCCGTGGAAACATTAAAATCCTCTCAGAAGGGTTTGGGGGAACTCGAAGATGGAAGTGTCTTGACTCTTGCTCCCCATAAGGCATCTGTGGAGCTTCCCCACAGGAAGTGACTCAGGGGCGTCTCTGGGCAGCCTCAAAGAACTTCCCAGCTCAATGACAACAACAAAAGAGAATCTACCCAGCAAGATTCTGCTCAGTATTGATGGGATTGCTCAGCTGGCAATAGGTGACAGGTGCCAGAGTGGAGATGATTGACAGCTGGAACATGTGTGGACAGTGTATCTGGACACATGTATCTGGATGCCTGTGCCTGGACTCCTGCACCTGAATTCACATGCCTGCACACCTGAACCTGGACACACATGCCTGAATACATACACCTGGACATCTGATGAGACACCTGCACCTGGACACCTGTGCTTGGACACCCGTACCTGGACACCTGTGCTTGAACACTTGCACCTGGACACCCATGCTTAGATACCTGCACTTGGACACCTGTGCCTAGATATCTACAGCTGGACACCTGTGCTTAGACACCTGCACTTGGACACCTGTGTTTAAACACCTGCACCTGGACACCTGTGTTTAGACACCTGCACCTGGACACCTGCATCTGTGAACCAGTCAGTTTTTTCTTCCACTCTTTATAGCTCAGGGCTTCCTAAGCTGTCTGGAACTTCAATAGTCCAGGGAAAGGAGCATTTGATTAAAGGGATGGTTCCCAGCTGATGTCCACTCCCAGCATCCTGGTTGTTGAGTTACTGAGGATATATGAACAGACACCTACTCAGTCCGCAAGGGAGGATAGTGCCTGAAGAATGACTCCAAGGTTGGCTGCTGGCTTCTGCATCTCCATAAGTGCACATGGGCCACATGCACACAGACACACAGACACACACACACACAGACACACACACACACACACACACAAATGTTGGCACCTCTGACATAATAGTTGAGACAATCAGAAATTTAAAAGTGTGTACAATCACAGCCAGGCCAGTTTTCTGTTTCGACAACAAACGGCAGAGACAAAGTATAAAGAGGGAAAGGTTTCCTGGTTCATGGCATGGTGGGAATACCTTAAGAGGGAGCAATTGCTTCGTGGTGGGGAAGTGGGAGAGGAAGAAAGAAGGGAGCACATTTCATTCTCTTCTTAGAGGGCCTGCTCCCAACTGTCCGGTGGGCTCCCGACAAGCCCCACATGGTTTTTAGTGTTTGAGGATTCCAGTATATGGTTCATTTTTATCATATTCATGCCACTCCCCCTCCAACTCCTCCAGGACCCCCATACTCCAACTTTCATGCCCTTGTCCTCTATAACCCCTGAGTCCAGAGAGAACGGCCTGTTTGAGAGTCTCAGCCACTGTTCTGCCGCTGTGAGGAGACACCATGACCAAGGCAACTCTTATGAAGGAAGCATTTAACTGGGGCTTGCTGCACAAGACAAATTGATAAGGTCTTATCACGTTCTGGTGGGCAACAAAGAGCAACAGCAATAGTTTGCATTGTTTTGGTGGTCTCTTGGAGACCAACAATTTGTCAGGAGGTACCCTATACCTGGCACCAAAGTACCACCTTTGGGGAGACACATGTCGAGCACAGTGACAACCACACTTAGAGGAAGAATAGTGCTACCAAAGATAAGAGAGCTCACTGCAGCCCAAGCTAAACTGATGCCCAAAGATGCCAAGGATGGATCTCAAAGACATCCAGCTGGGAAGTGGCAGAGCAGGGATTTGAACTTGGAGCATCAACTCCAGAGCGTAAGAACCATCTGATTTCTCTACAATGATGTCATGTCTCCCATTTGAACACAGTGGTGTCAGTTGGCCATCCTAAGACATTGCTATACCGTCATTATTTTTGGGTCTGGGTAAAAGGTGAAGGGAAGAGGGGTGGGTGACTGCCTAGGGGGAGGATGGAGTTCCAGGAAGCAGGGTAGTAGAGCCCCAGGGGTGGAAGATAATCAGAAATAGGTCAATGACTGGGCTAAGGACTTCCTGCCTCTAGGCCTTACCTGAAGTCACCAATGCCTCCTAGGGGGTCCCCCGTCTCTTTTCTCATCCTTCTCCTCACCTTTACCTTCTCTCCTTGTTTCTTCCCACCTTCCACCCTCACCCACAACCTCTCCCTCTATTCTCCTCAAACTGAGAAAAATCTTCAAGAATGATTTTTTTCTTCTTCTTCTTTAGACGGAAACTGCTGGCTGCGGGCAGCTTTTTATAAATACACTGTCCCCACACCTTGGTCTCATCAAAGCCACGGAAACAGACCATGATGAGCATACAGGAAACTCCAGTGTGGGGTGAGGCTGGGTATTGGAGGTGTTTCCTCCTCCCACTGGTGGCGTTGCAAGGACAGGGGGCGGAAAGTAAGCTCAGACTGGCTGTGGTTCCTGGGCAGAGGGAGGCTGTCCTGTCCCTCTTGGGTGTGGCCTCTCCATCTAGAAGGTGTGGGGCAACATATTCTGCTCGGGCCTTAGGTTTCTCTGTACAGATATTCAGCGAGGGTAACACACAGCTGCAGTTCTAGATGCTGGGGAAACTGAGGCAGAAGGGTTGCTCAAGACTCTGCCTCAAGAATATAAAAAAAAAAACTAAAGAAGATATAATCTATGCAAGGTGCTTATCCAGGCGTGGTGGAACACAGCTGTCAGCCCAGCACTCAGGAGATGGAGGCAGGAGGGTCAAGAGCTCAAGGCCAGCCTGGGCTACTTGAGACCTGGTTTTGAAACAAAATGAACAAACAGAAGAAGACAAATGATTAAAGATACAAAGTACTGTGGGATAATGCTCTTGTACACCGTAAAGATTTGTCACTCGTATTGGCTTAATAGAATGCTGATTGGCCAGTAGCCAGGCAGGAAGTATAGGCTGGGTGACCAGGCTAAGAGAATTCTGGGAAGAGGAAAGGCAGAGACACAGTCACCACCCAGATGCAGAGGAGATGAGAATGCCTTACTGAGAAAAGGTACCAAGCCTTGTGGCTAAACACAGACAAGAATTATGGGTTAATTTAAATTGTAAGAGCTAGTTAGCAATAAGCCCAAGCAGCAGGCCAAGCAGTTTAAGATAATTAATATAAGCCTCTGTGTGTTCATTTGGGACTGAACAGCTGTGGGACCTGGTGGGACAGAAATTTCATTCACAATAAAGAGCTTCTCAAATACTATTATTTAAAATCTTTTTTATTTTATTTTATTTTATTTATTCTGTGTGTATCCTGCACGTGGGGTCCAGAGGACAGCCTCAGATGTCTGCTTTCTTTGAGGAGGTCTCTCACTGAACCTGGAGCTCACGGATTCAGCTAGACTGCTTGGCCAGCAAGCTCATCCTCCCTTCCCCACTGATGGGGTTGCAGTGCCCACCACCACATCTGTCTCTGTACTGATTCTGGGGACTTGAACTTGGATCCTCATGGCAGAGTCGCGAGCTCTCTATCCTCTGAGCCATCTCCCACTCCCATCAGCTCCAGGCATCCTGCAGGTCTGACACACACACTGTTCTAAGTGCGTTCAATAAAGTGCTCTGGAGGGGGTCACCTCTCTCCTCTCTTTCTACCTTTCGTCTTTCCTTCTCTTCGGCATTCCCTCCTTCTCTCCCTTCCTTTCCCCACCATTTCTGGAGAGTCTGTCGTAGCCATGCATTGGGCTGAGTGCTGAGGTCCCATCAGAGTATCCCTGAAGGATTCGTGTGCTCAAGAGCTGGTCCCAGGCCAGTCACAGCCAGCTAGCCAATGCTGCCCTGGTGGCTGGAAACCAAATGCAGACGATCTGTGGGAGTGGCCAGGGTCCCAGTGATATAACTCCCCTGACACCCTGAGGAGGTTTCTTGTCTCCAATTTATAAGCCCAGAAACTTCAAGTCCACAGTGGTCATCAGACACATAAATACCCCAGCTTTATTCTTTCTTCCTGAATATCAGGCAAATGGGCTGACCCTACATTCCTGGGGTCCACACCCCAAGTCTTCAATTTGAAGATTTACCAAGGCAGGTTAGCATTCTACATGGTCCCTGAGCTCCACCTGCAGAATTTGGGGATCCTTACGGGGAACCTCCAAGATCTCTGCTTGCTGGGTTTGAGGTCTGTCTTGGAGAGGTGCCCCCTTGCCATCAATCCGTCGTCACCACGGCCTTCAGATCATGAATGCTCCGAAATAGGACCTGGTGCCATCCCGTGGTCTGACCAAGCGGTCCCCAGGTACACGAACCACAACCTCCTCCCCCGCTTCCAGGTGCACCACGCCGCCCAGGAAGCTGCTGTCCCACCAGACGCGGGAGGTGTTGGTCCGGCCACAGGGTGACCGCCGACTGACCAGCAGTTCTAGCTCCTTGGGGTAGCGGGATGTACGTTTATACAGGCCGTGTGTGATAGGGACTTTGGCCAGGCCCTGGGGGCAGCCCACGCCGCTCAACTGTACTTTCGAGTACACATAGTAGTAGCCGGCTTCCGTGGTCACTAGGGCCCCGTTGTGATATCTCAGGCCCCTCAAGAAGGCCAGGCCAAGGCGAGTCTCCCATAGCAGAGGTCCACCCTTGCCTATCAAACTGGCGTTGGCCCCTGGGAAGGAGAGAGAGAGAGAACCGGTCAGCACAGGTAGTGCCTGCCCATCCTTCTGTGTGACCTATGCTAGTTGTTAGCCCTGTCTGTTGCTCCACTGTTGTATTAGGCTGTTTGGGTTGACTCAGTCCTCTCCCATCCTGTAGGTGGGGGACTCTGAGGAGCAGGGGAGCAAAGTGATCTGCTTATGATGTATCCTGACTCATTTCATCCCCATCTCCTTCTGCAGGGGGAGAAACTGAGGCAGAGAGAAGCAAAGCCACTTGGATACCAAAGAGGAAACTGAAGGGGTGCCTAAGTTTCCTAGTGAAGTGTCAATACTTAGAAATGAGGTTGGGGCTGAAGAGGCAGGACACCTGCCCAGGAGGCCCTGTGCTCCAAACATTGCACAGAATAAACTAGACGTAGTGGCACACGCCTGTCTTCCCTGGTAGACAGAAGGACCAGGCGTTCAAGGTCATCCTCTGAACAGGCAGTTCAAGGCCAGTTCAGGTTACTTGAGATCCTGGCTCAAAAAGAGAGAGTGTGTGTGTCTGTGTGTGTGTGGCCAGAGGTTAACACCAGGCAACTTTCTCAATTTCAGCTTCCAGCCACCTTATCTCTCACTGAATCTGGAAGTCCCCTGTTTGTTGAGGCTGCTGGCCAACGCATCCCAGGGATCTTCCTGTCTCTGCCTCCGCCGGGGTCACAGAGGTGTGTGCCTGGCTTTTGACTGGGATGCTGGGATTTAGACTCATGCCTGTGTGGCCAGCGCTTTATGCATGGAGCCATCCCCCACCTCCAGCTCCACCTTTTATGTTGTAAATAGTTTTTGATTATAGTATATTTTATCCCTGTTCTGATTCACTTTATACTGTGTTAGACTAGAAATCAAACTGACTGTGGTATGGAAGCACAAGAAAAAATACGGTACACATGACTGGGCCCGGTGGCAGCTGGATGGTGGTGGTGCACACCTTTACTCCCAGCACCCGGGAGGCAGAGGCAGGAGGACCTCTGTGAGTCTGAAGCCAGCCTGGTCTACAGAGCTAGTTCCAGTACAGCCCAGGCTACGTAGACAGACCCTGTCTACTAACAAAATACAGGGTGTGATAGGCCTGTGTCCCAGCATCCTCTGAGGCCTCTGAGGACCTTGGGAGGTGTCCATATGACTAGCAGGGCAAAGGGGGGACTTTATTTAGTCCTCAGGGGCTGTGCTTTCTGGGTCACCTGCCAATAAGCATTGTACGAACGAGGCCGGCAAGATTGCTCTGAGAGTAAAGGAACTCGGAGCCAAGACTGACAACCTGAGTTCAATCCCTGGAGGCCACAAGGTGGAAAGAAACAATCGTTCCAAGAGCTGTCCTCTGGCCTCCACGCTGTGGGATGTACACGTGTATCAACAATAAGAAACAAAAAGAAGTAAATATAAACAAAAATTCAAAACACACTGAATGAATACCTAAATGGTTGCTTAAACTTCTCAAGACCTGGCTCTCCCAGGACACCCCAAGCTCCAGCCCATGTGAAGACCCAGGGTCCCCTTACCTGTGAGGTGTGCTGCTGGGTGGGCCTGTTGAGACCGCCGCCGCTCTGGGGAAGAGAGTCCGAGGTTAGAGACACAGAAAGAAGCAGGGGTGGGGGTTTGTTGGGGCCACCTGTCAGTGTCAAGTTCTGCCCCTTCCGAAGTGACCCAGACTTCTGCTTCTGGGGGAGGGGTACTTGTGGGGCTCCTCAAAATCACATTGGGTGATCCTAGGGTGTGGGAGGGTCAGAGTGGGAACCATTCCATCTCCTTCTTAGGAGCTGGGGCCCAACTTACCTTCTGTCAGCTTCTCCCAGGAGCCCGTGTCTCCGTCCTGAAATGCAAACAGGGCTCTTGGTGAGGACAGACCACACCCAGGCACATGGCCATGAGACTGTTTGGCTATGGCCGTAGACACCACCCACGGACACATGCACGGGGCCACATGTGCACACAACAGTCCCAACATGCGTGTGTGCACACCCACACACAGAGAGACACACACATACACACACACACACACGTACACACACGCACACACACACACACGCACACACACACACATACACACACACACACGTACACACACGCACACACACACACACACACGCACACACACACATACACACACACACACTCAGGGTGTTTTCTGAGATTGACTCTCATGTAGCCCAGGCTGGCCATAGACTTCCTAACTAGCCTCTGATGACCTTGAAATCCTTGGGCCTTCTGCCTCTCCAGCCCAAGAACCAGGATGATAGGAGTGTGCCATGGAATTCAGTCAAGATCTGAGGAAAGCTCAGTGTCTGAAATGCTTGAGACTAGAAATGTTTCAGAACTGTTTTTAAGGTTTTTGGAATATTCACATGTCTTAAAAAAATCATTTGAGGGCCAGTAGAGGGCTCAGGGGGTAAAAGTGCTTACGGCCGAGCCTGGCTATCCGAGTTCAAGCCCCAGAACCTACATAAAGGGGGACAAAGGGCTGACTCCACAAAGGTGTCCCACATACATGCTCCAGCAAGTGCACGCCTGCTCATATCCACACACTAATAAGTAAAGGTAATAAAAAAAAACTTAACAAGAAAACAAAGGCGAAGATTGCAGAAGTGTATTGTTTACACAAGTGACCAGGTGTGGTACACAGACAGATACACCCGTGGCTTATTTGAAAGGGACAGAGAGTGAACCAGGATGGCCATGAAGCCAGGGATGGGCACAAGGGTCCAGCTAGTAAAAACAGTCATGTACGTAAGTCCCAGGGAAGTTGCCGGGCCTCACACACTCATATCCCCACATACAGATGAGAAGACAGGGTCAGAAGCCCTAGGGTCTAATCTCTGCTTGGCACGCATACACAGCAGTAAAGAGATAGACGCTGGAGAGGCTACCCTGGACCCCCGAGCCCCACGTACCGGTAAGTGAGTCACTGTGTCCCCAAGTTGCTGATGCAGTCTCAGCAGAAACCAGCCCTGAGTAGCCAGCCCGGCGCCCAGCAGCAGTATCAGGGCCAGGTTGACTTGGGCAATGCCGCAGCGCTGTCTCCTGTGGTTCTGTCCCAGACGCCTGAACGGGATGTCCGTTTGTCCATCCACCACAAACACTGAAGGCTGTACCACACTCTCCATGCCAGAGCAGCTGAGGCCCAGAAGCCCAGGGATGGGGCAGGCGAGTCTGAGTTCCTCCCCTCCGGAGGAAACCACGATTGCCCAACGCTGGGGCTTTGCAAGCTGCAAAAGGCTCCTGCCGCCCTGCGGCTCACTTTAAAGCTGAGGTTTGGTGCCTCCGCTTTCCCCACGCACCCTCCTCTTCTTCCTGTGCCCCCAGAAGGCCCGGCCCCCAGCTCACTCTCACTCACGCCATAGCTCACACTTTCCAGAAAGTGACTCAGGTGGAGATGGACGGGACAGCCCCCGCTCGCCCAGTGTGGTAGCTCTGTTCCCCTCAGACGCGCTTCTGTGGGTTCCATGCAAGCTTCCAACACGTGCATATGTAGACACACATGCAATCACACACCTTTGTGTCTATGCTTCAGCCCATGCATGTGGGTGCAAATGCATGTGCAGATGCATGGCTGTGGGCATGCAAGGCGCAGGTTTGTGCATGTGTGCATGTGGGTGTAGATGTTCTGATCTATGCCTGTATGCATGCAGGTCATTGAACACATGCATTTCCTGATGTGTCTGCAGGCCCATATGTAGACACACGGGCTACAGTGTGCATCATCTCTGTAGGCCTAAAAACGTGAGCCTATTTCCACCTTAAGCTATTCCTTCAAGGTTATTGTGCTTCTACCTCAAATGAAGGTCCCACCTAGATGCAAAGCTGAGAGCTCTGCTCTCTCAAGGTGATCGGCAGACAATAACCGGAGTGGCTAATAGCCAGACCTTGTATTTCAGGAATAGAGAAGCAGACGTGCTTCTACTTCAAACAGAAGTCTAAGGATCCTACTAAGGGTCCAGTTCCCTTAAGGAGATAAGATTGGATTCCACCCAGGAGTGGTTTGCCTACAGAATGCTTTGGTCTAGGGTATGAGCGTGACTTGTTTTGTCCTAGCAACAGAATGTTTAACTGTGGAGGTATCCTGCGACCTTCAACCGGTCTGTTCATTTCCTGGTATCGTGTTAATGCAGGGTTTTTTTTTTTTTTTGATCTTACTCCTACCTCTTGGGGTCAGGGTATTTTAAACAATTGGAAGTTAAAAGCAACAATTTCAGTATTCACTGGAACTCCCTCCTGATACTATTCTATGTTTTTCTTTTTTATTATTTCACATGTGTCTTCGCATTCTTTACTAATATTTCTGAATCCCCACACCCCTGCCCTGGCAAGAAGTGTTTTTGTCGAGGCTGGTTTCTGACAATCTTCCATCAGTACGTGCGTATATGTACCTCAGCATCATGAGTGTGCCCGTGTGTGTCCCTCTCAGGGACGGGGCTGGGGGTAGATTTCAGATCCCATGACTTTGTCCCTGAGTCTTCAGCCTGGACCTAAGCCCCATCACACACACCCAGATTCCAAGGGCTCAGGGGTGCTCAGGAGGTACCAGCTCCCCTTCCCAACATCAGTGGCTCCCATGCTGTAGTGCTTGACCTCACAAAGGGATGACAGTCCTGTGATCACAGAACCCCAATGCTCTGCCACACTGCTTTTCCAAGTGGGGGTCCCACCCTTTCACCTGCCTCAGGAGCGGCCCCTCCAGGAAGCCCGAGTACGTGAGGTACTGAGGGATGAGTGCTGTTGACATGGCCATGTCGAGTACTACAGAGTTTCCAAACCTGATGGAAACAGAGAAGCCTTCTCTTCTGCTCCGTGTTGACAGGGTGTGTGGAAAGCATCCTCCATTCTCCCCCTGGGTGTTGTCCGTCTGAAGATGGCTCCCCCACAGAGACTGCTCCTATGGAGGTTAAATACCTGCTTTCCAGATCCCTGTGTGTGCGTAAGCCCTGTCTCCTCACTTATCTGTCTGTCACAAGCTGCTTCCTTCAGCCATTGGCAATAACCCCGCCTCTCTGTTCAACCCTGTATGATACAGGTGCTGAGCTATGGGGGTGCCGGAGGCCCAGACCGTCTGACCCCAGGTGCCCCACACGGCTGTGTTTGTCTTTTCTTGTTGTTGCCCCGCTCAGCTTCATTCCTGGGACCATGCAAACGACTCAGCAGTCTGGAGTGTCCCACCATACTGGATCTGCCTGGAAGAATTTGCTAGTCTCTTACAGTCTGTGCTGGACAGTTTGTCACAAGCTGGGGTCACTTCAGAAGAGGGAACCTCAATGAAGAAAATGTCCCCTGATGTGGGAGTGTCATATATCAATCTGTTGATTTCATTGGTTAATCAATAAAGAAACTGCTTGGCCTGATAGGTTAGAACATAGGTGGGTGGAGTAAACAGAACAGAATGCTGGGAAGGAGGGAAGTGAGCTCAGACGCCATGCCGCTCCTCTCCAGGGCACATGCGATGAAGCTCCGACCCAGGATGGACGTAGGTTAGAATCTTCCCCATAAGCGCACCTCGTGGTGCTACACACATTAATAGAAATGGGCCAGGCAGTGTTTAAATGAATACAGTTTGTGTGTTGTTATTTCGGGGTATAAGCTAGCCAGGCGGCTGGGAGCAGGGACCATGCTACCCCTGTGCTGGTGGTCCAGGGTTTTCTAGGAAAGCAGACTAAGCAAGGCATGGAAGCAAGCCAGTAAGCAGCATCTTCCACAGTTTCTAAACCAAGTTGCTTTGGGTCATGGTGTTTTATCACACAATAGCAATTCTAAGGTGACAGACATGACCATGTTTTGGGGATGACCGTAGTGGCAACTGAACTCTGAGTATGCAGAGCCCTTTGGGCTGTTTTGTGGGAGCCTGGTGGGGGCAGTCAGACAGCTGAGGACAGGGCAGATGATGGGGGCCTGTCTTGTGAAGTTACAGAGGGACATTTGAGAGCCCCTCAAACAACCAGGGCTTCCTAGGTGTGGGATACACACCTTTAGTCCCAGCACTTGGGAGGCAGAGTTCAAGGCTAAACTGGTCTTCCGAGTGACCAGAAGGCAAGGGCTATAGAAAGACCTTATTTCAACAAGACAAAACAACAAGAAGACTACGGTGAGTGCTTTGTATTTGAAGTAAGTTTCCTTGGTTCAGCTCAGCTGGGGCTGCAGAATCAGCCGGGATTAAGAAGAGACCAGCATAACTGAGAGGAAATGTAGGAAGTGTATGTGGAAGGCATCCTCCATCCCTCCCCCCCCACCCCGGGTGCACACAGAAGCTGTGCTCAGAGGTGCCCAGGGTTGAACCTCATGCTGGCAACCCAACTTGGGAGGTGTAAGGGTCACCCAATGGTGCTGGTTTTGAAGGCATGAGGGGGTCTGGGAGAGCAGCTGAGGCCTGGTGCTGTGAGAGGCCAGAGTTGAGGCACAGACCCAGTGTCAGTGAAGGACCCAGCGTTTTGGAGATGTCAGTACCATGGACTGACCACCAGAACAGCAGCAGCGGCAGAGTGAAGCCTGCCTCTGTTTAGAAGACATGCTGTGTGTGCGGCAGAGGGCAGAGCTGGAGAAGTGATCCAAGCACCTTGTTGGAACCCAGAAGTTATGTGTGGATCCTAGACATTGAACATTGTCTACTTACGCAGTTGGAGTTTGGTTTGGTTTTGTCCAGGTTGTTGACTGTGCCCTGGTTCTTCCTTCTTGAAATAAGGAAGTATTTAGTTTGTTTTCAATTTTACAGGAACCCACAGTTGAGAGACTAAAGATGTTTAGATGTTAAAAGAGATCTTGAAGCTTTAAGGAAACTAAATTTCAAAGTGTTTGAGTTTATAAGGCTGTGGGGCCTTTTAAGATTGTGAAATGTTTTATATTGTAATGTTAATATTAACATGTGATCTTGGGAATGAACAAGAAAGGAAAGGGTGTGGTCTAACAATTATGTGTTTGTGTGTCAGGTTGACAAGGAGTGAATTTTTGTGTCAACTTGACACAAGCTAAAGTCATCTGAGACAAGGAAGAAACGCCTGTAGAAGATCCAACCATAGGAAACCTGTAGGACATTTTCCTAATTAGTGGTTGATGACGGAGGCCCAGCCCATTGAGGGTGGTGCCATCCCTGGCTGCTGGGCCTGGGTTCTATACTAAAGCAGATGGAGCAAGCCATGCAAGCAAGTCAGTAAGCAGCAGCCTCCACGGCCTCTGTACCAGTTTCTCCCTCCAGGTTCCTGCCCAGTGTGTGTCCTGTCCTGACTTCCTTCAGTGATGGATGTTGATTTGGAAGTGTAAGGCAGATAAACCCTTTCCTTGCCGAGATGCTCTCGGCCGTGGTGGTTCATCAGAAATCAGAACGAAGGCAGAGGCCAAGGGTTTACTTTGCTTACAGTTAGTGGGAAGAGCCTGTCATGGTGAGCCAGCTGCTCAAGTCAGGTCCACAGTGAAGCAGCAGAGAGGTGAACCCTGGTGTTAGGTTCATCTTCTCCTTTCCATTCAACCCAGAACCCCAGCCCAGAGGATGATGCAACTTAGCTGTAGGGCAGGTCCTCTTCTTTATCAGGGACAGAGATAGTTAGAGGATTGTTTCCATGGTGATTCTGTCTCCTGTCATGTTGACAATCTAGATTAACCCACACAGCAAGTACAGGTGTGAGGGTGCCAGGCAGGGTTCAGAGGAGCCCGGGAGGTTCAGGGGAGCCTGGGGAGGTTCAGAGGAGCCCGGGGAGGTTCAGAGGAGCCCTGGGAGGTTCAGAGGAGCCCTGGGAGGTTCAGAGGAGTCCGGGAGGTTCAGGGGAGCCCCGGGGAGGTTCAGAGGAGCCCCGGGGAGGTTCAGAGGAGCCTGGGGAGGTTCAGAGGAGCCTGGGGAGGTTCAGAGGAGCCTGGGGAGGTTCAGGGGAGCCTGGGGAGGTTCAGAGGAGCCCGGGAGGTTCAGAGGAGCCCTGGGAGGTTCAGAGGAGCCTGGGGAGGTTCAGAGGAGCCTGGGGAGGTTCAGAGGAGCCCTGGGAGGTTCAGGGGAGCCCGGGGAGGTTCAGAGGAGCCCTGGGAGGTTCAGGGGAGCCCTGGGAGGTTCAGGGGAGCCTGGGGAGGTTCAGGGGAGCCTGGGGAGGTTCAGAGGAGCCCGGGGAGGTTCAGAGGAGCCCCGGGGAGGTTCAGG